CAAAAATAATTACACATATAAACAGCAATAATGAAATTTTTCATAGCCTATAACTTTTCCGAAATTTATATAGTAAAATACGTTTTTTTTAAATTGCTACGTATTTCTCTTTATTTTTAATGATAGGGATACTTCAGAGTTTTCTAGTTTATAAAATAACAAATCATGCAAAAAAATTTCATCATAAATGTTTTTCGTTCTATTGCAAGTTTTAAAAATTTATATGGAATAAAAATTTTTTCTCTGTACGTATTAGTATTTTATATGTTGCCTTCAGTAAAAATATATTAATTTTTCATAAATAACAAAATCTTAACGATTTAAAAAAAAATGTATTTTACTATATAATTTCGGAAAAGTCGTAGGCTATGAAAAAATTTCATTATTGCTGTTTATATGTGTAATTATTTTTGAACCCGGACCAATTTTATATATTACGTGATAACATTTTACGTAGTCTGGATCCAAAAATAATTACCCATATATATCGATATGATCTACATAAGTTTGTTAATTATATGGTATCGCGCACCCCAAAGTCGGACTTGTGTTTTGTCGTGTTGACGAATAATGTCCAGTATAATTCCACGGACGCCATAGTTGACATAAATCTAAAATAATCATGTACACATCTTGTTTAAGTCTTCTACATCTAATATAACCCGAACAATAGTAAAGCTTGTTTGAATATGCAATTTCTCCAAAAATGGAATTAATGGAGATATTTATCTATGAGCTACATTCCTAAACTACTTTGTGCTTTCAGAAAAGCAATTAAGTTCGCAAATATATAAATATTTCGCAGAAAGTCCTTTTAACATTAGAATTCAACAGTATTACTATACAGGTTTGTTGGCGAAGCGGAATTCGAATGCATGTTTAATATTTGGCTTAGTGTCTATCGTTATATGACTTCGGAACCTTTGATTATTGATTGGAATTATACAGTATTATTGAATAGATGCATTATTCGTAATATAACTTATACAATGTTACGATTTTTTGGAATTCACATTCAAATGTTAATTTTTTATTAACATTATATATTATATCAAAATGGTTAAACATCGAATTTGAATCATATAACGGTAGATGTTGACCCATTTGATTTACTACAACTAATTCATAAATATTTTATTTAGTAAACATAAATCAATCATGGCGCCAAAAGAGAACAATTCACTCCAAGCCATGGAGGACTTTTGCAAATGTATGGACCAGTGGGCTGATGGTGAAGGTGACCCTCGTCGGCATGCCTTTAATCTTGGACAATTACTCCTAAAGGCAAATCCAAATTCTAGGAGCAGAGATGGATCCACTCGTGGTATATTTATTATCGGTGACCAAAGTTCTGCTAAATCTACCACCGTAAACAGTATTATCAAACAAGTTGCGCTTCAAATGGGTAATAATACTGTCACTAAAGTCAGAACATGGATTGAACATCGGTACGACCCGGATTTAGAGCATGCAGAGTACGACTTACTAATACAAAGACAAAGAGGAAGTGAACCACTCCTTCATGGTGGTACTCTACAGGAACTAGCCGAAAAGTTCACTCGAATAAATAATAATATGGATGATACGGTGGAAGCTCGAATTATCATTCATTCCGACATTCCGTCATTTGCAATAGATTGTTGTGATAATCCGGGACTTACGCCAATAAATGAAAGAACGCAAACTATCACTGACAACATTACACGTCGTACGCTGGAAAGGGTTTTGGAACGTCAAAAATCAAACAATGATAGCATCGTGGTGTTATGTGTTTCGTCACTGTTCTTTGAAAATGCATCTTGGCCACGTCATATGGATTTAATTGAACAAATTAATGGCAATAATTTGATTGTTCTTGTAACAAGGATGGATCAACTCAACATTCGCAACGTTGCTCAGGAGATTCGAGACGATGAAGATAGCAATTCTGAAGATAACCATTCTGAGCTTCTTCGCTGCAGCCCTTGGGACATCCTCATGCATATTCGCTCAAAGATTGAACGTCAAACTGGTTCCCGTTCTTTTCCAAATGGCGTGCAGTTTCATTTTGCGGCTTCCAGTAGTGTCCGTTGGGATGTTTTGACAGGGCCTGATGGGTGGGATGCGTTTGTAAAATCAGAAACAGATAACGATAAAAAGATGCGTGAAATTCTCGGTGTATGCGACAATGAAACGAAGTACCTGCATAATGAACAAGCATGGCGTGAACATGGTATTGAATTGATTCCAATGGATCTGAAACAACAATCAGACTTCAATGACTGTGTCGGGATGGCAAGACTAGAGGAAAAATTACTCCAAACGTTGCATGTTCATATTATAAAAGCTGCTGAAGAACTTATGGATTATACTTCTGATTGGAAAAGAGATGCAAAAATGAGCCTAGATAATGCAACAAAGCGTATGAAACTTCCTGATGATCGAGCAGAATTGATCTCTGAGTTTTGCAAACAGTTTATATTAGTTTATCAGACCCTTTTTTCTTCGCCATTGTATTCACCAACAATTAACGCTGACCCTCTGTTGAAAGAATTTGGAGAAGCAATCAAGAAGGGACAAGAAAATAGTGTAGGATACGGGTGGACATCTAGGGATATGTGGGAAATCTTCGAAAGCCTTAAAGACAGTGATGGATACGCTGAGTTTCCACCCCAAGAGTTTTGTGACACAAGCTTTAATTCTTATATGGAAGAGATTGATAAATACGTAAAACCTGCTAATGATTGTTTATATACGGCGCAAATGTTATTACAACGACTAACACAGGAATATACCATGCGATCCACTTTGATTCATTTACGTGATCTTGATGTCAGAACATTTATTCCACGTCAAGTACAATTGAGAACATCAACCCAATTGAGTTTCGGTCAAGCTGTCGATCAAAAGATCACCGAAGACTACAACCAGATTTTTCATAAACATGAAAAAAGGAATTCTGGCGGTCATCGTTCACATGAGATACACGGAGGTAACCAATGGGTATCTGTACTTGGAGCTTTGTGTCTATTACTGCACGCGGAATATACTATTCGTATTATGCGCGATACAAGATTCTCTTCTCTGTTGCAAGCACAAAGTGACGATCCAATGCATGGTATTCTTGTTTCTAAGTTTGAACGATATTGGAGGTTGAGAAAAGAAAATTTAATGAGGAAAGAAAACTTTATGGACCAGCAGCGTGAACACAATACAGAAAGTCAAATTGCAACAATTATGAAGAATATTAGAGAAAAACCAAATTCTAAAAGATTTTCTTCAAATAAGAATAAAGTATCACCAATCGAAGATCTGTCATGGGCTATATATACCATGTTCTTTGAGGACCCATATTGTCATTTTAAAAAGACATTAGATGAACGTACTGACCTATTAATGATGACTCATGCCACATCACTTGTTCACCTTTACCAATTGAGTGGAATCTGCGTGCATCAAGACGAAGAATACCTGATCAGATGGGCGGCAGACAACCCGAAGTCATCATATGCTAGAGCATTTTTGATTCGAGAACCAGAAGTCAAGGATAGTATAGAAGCTTTAGATAATGTAGTAAATAAGGATGGAGTTGACGGTAATGGGGTTAAAAATCTTAGATTTATCTCCCACTTATCGGATAGCCTTAAAAGGTTTCAGAGAGGGAAAAAGGACAATAACGATTCATCAGGAGTTAATGAGACAGATTCAACGATCTTTTCAAACCTATCAGAAATAATAACTGAGCGGGTAAGAAAAATCGTAATGGGCAAACCGCCAAGCTCAGAGGATAAAGTAAAATTGTTTGTAAACATCGCAGATATGGGTATGAATCCAGATTCGTTTCCAGAAACAGAAAGTAAGACAGATATTACTTCCAGAGAAGAAAGTACTGTAAATTATGTTTATAGACGTCGTTTGACGATGGGAATTACAAGCAGTGTCATTGACACAACTCAACAGCTCGCTAAATCGCAGTACGAATACAGTCACCAACAAACCGCCCCAACCTTACAGCGTGCGTTACTTGGTCGCGTCGCATCCTTAATGCTTGGATATGGATATCCTTACCATCCTGATGCTCGTCCTTCATCAAAATGGTATCTTTCGCCAAAGGTAATTGTCCAGTTTCTTCTGGCCAATGAAGCTGTTTTTGTAGGCGAGAAAAATATGCCAAATTCGCTTGAAGATTGGAACGCTTTGCTTGATCCTCGGATTTTAGAATCACCGATTGTTAGACGCATCCTTTTCTTGAGCAATCCTACTGAAAACGATGACTACGATGCTAAGACAGTGTCGCATTATATCAAACAACTTGATAAAATCAAACCTAGCGACATGGATGAATATATTATCGACTTTCTTGCTGATGATCGGTTTAATTGGCAACCGGATCAGGAGAACCTACGTGGAAAAATGGAGAATTTTAGAAATAATCTAATCAAGTTTAGCAAATGGCATGATTATATTGAAGCATACATAAAAGTTGCAGAACCAGTTTTGCTACGCAATGAGAACATAGAACCTGAAATAAATTTTGATGAAAGTGAAGTAATTAATGCGCTTGATGAATTTATGCATGAAGGCAACGAAGCATAGTGATTAATTTCATAACTTAGTATATATATTCATTTCCTTCTATTCTACTGATTGTAATTATATATTGTATTCCTTATTATTTTTTTAAACTAAAAAAAATGATACACTAATTTATTTCTACTCAACTATCGTGGCTACTTTCGTTTACAGTATTTCGATATAATTATACTCTGTTGAAGCTTTCTTTTGAAAACCTAAATATGTTTTTCATTTTTTATTCATGCGAGGAAGTATATGTGTTATTCTATATCTGAGATTACATAAAATGAATTAAGTACTACTGTATCAGTGACAATGCATAATTTAGCTGGAAGGATAAAGGAAAATGTCATTAGCGATTCTAACTAGTGTTGAATATTAATTCGATAACGTTAATGAAAAAAATGCAGAAAATGCGATTGACTAGTTTTAGCAATATTAAACTCAAATAAATTAAATAAATTGTATTAAATGTAGTTTAAATAGAATTAAATAAATTGTATTAAATGTAGTTTAGATAGTAAACTTTGCAATTCGTAAATAATTATAGGTTTTTATTAAAGCCATCCTTAATTTAACGCTGGTAGAAAGCATTTTATTTCACTCATTTCATGCTCCTGGAAAATTTTCATTCCATACTCCCGGAAGACCCGGATGCTTTCCCTGGTACCCTTAGGATTAATTATCCTCGAGGTATTGTTGCTAGAGCTTTCCATATCCACAATCCGGCTAACCTAGACTTCGGTAACTTATGCCGAGTCCGAGGACAAGTACTTGTGAGCTGAAGCCACTACTGTTACCTACTTCTGCCCTTGTAGAGTTCACCCAAACCCCAGCACCCACTTTATGGACTATCACCGACTTTCCTGGTAATCCAACAGCGCCAAAACTCCCAATTCAGTTGGGCCTGGAAGGGACTGGTGAGTGTCACCTGATATTCTGATTGAATCCTTTTCTTTGTATACATATAGCCTGGTTGGTTGTGTCTTGTCAAATACCTGGTTTTTGTTTAGTTTATTGTTAGTGTCCAATTTTTAATGATAATCTTTTATGTAGTATTATCAAAGATCTGTGTTACCTTTCTATTCGGGACTTGTCAAGTGGGCTTCTATGTGCTCTAAGCCTTGAATTTACTCAGCTGCTTCACTTGGGTTTTGTGTAATTCATATAGTACACTAATGTTTTACAACCTTTCAATACAAGCTGATATAATCAAGATTACAAATTTTGACCCATCAGATTATATACAGTTTGTCATAACACATTCTGTAAAATTTGAATTCAAATTCTTGTCCAGTTATTTGGAGGTGTAACAACTTACCAATTTTACTAAGTTATTATATTCTTACTCAAAAGCATTTATATAATTTAAATTTGATATACTGTATTTAACATAAAGTAACTTAGAGCATTATATTAAAAAAAAGAAGAGATAAGTTTCTAATAAAAATAAATAGATAATAAATAACACTAGTTTTATTGATTATTATATCTAATTTAGTAATAATCACTAGAAGAATTAATTTAGATTTCTTTTATATTGTAATATTAACAAATTTTTATTAACACTTTTCTTATAATTTTCCTTAAATTTTATTATATATTTTATATGTTTATTATATATTTTATCTTTTTATTAGTTTATTTACATAGTTTATAACATATTTTATCTATTTTAGACGTTTTTACAATAGTTTATTACATATTT